ATAAGCCAAATTCACACTTGAATCATATTTGGCAATGAGAATCCCATAAGGAAGAAAGAAAATCAGGGATAAGTTGTATATTGCTATATGCATCACATCTCACAATGCATGTCTGCTTTTGTAAGCCACTCCATGAATCAGAGAAGCACTTGAGAAGTCTCCACAAAACTGCAAACAACTCATCTATAATCTACTTGCTTTAGACTTAAGATGACTTCTACTTTGTGGTACTCTTCAGTAAAAAAGAGAACAGCACCTTTTTTGATCAAGCATATCCAAATGTTCATGGGAAAATAACTTTCTACAGGATATTTCTTCTCTCTAAAATCAAAAGAACTTGCCATCTTCTAAGATATTCAAGACTTCTTCCTTTCTTGGAGCACACACGGGGTTCTTTACCTTCCCCAATCAATACAACTTCAGCCCCCTAGTATTCATCATGAAGTAAAGTGACCAGTAAAATCATTTAAATGTCCTGGCCAAAGGGAAAGAGCACTGGGGGTATAGTGGTTAAAGCATTCAGCTGCTAACCAAAAGGTTGACAGTTCAAACTCACCAGCCAAGATGAAGCAGTCTGTTTCCATAAAGATTTACAGCCTTGGAAACCCTTAGGGGGCAGTTCTACTCTGTCCTAAATGGTCGCTATGAGTCAGAATTGACTCAATGGCAGTAGGTTTTGTTTGGTTTGATCCAAAAGGGATTGTGAAGGAGTCAACACTAGGCACATTAGGGGCAAAATGTATACAACTGGAGATGTCAGCAGACAATCTTCAACTACAGAAAGGGTATGATGCAAAACAGAACTGTTAAAGGCCAAAACTGACTAGAGGCAAGCCCTATGGACATTAATATTAAATGTGAAAAATTATTCTGTCAAACTCGCCCTGAATTACACTGCTTAGCAAGTATCTAAAATCTCTTATTGCATCTCTTTCTACCCAAACCTACATGCGGAATAATATCCATAACATAAGGACAAAAATATACTGTTTTGAAATTCTGAAAACAGCATCAAGATGGTACCAAAAGTTTCATATGCACAATCACACGCTCTTTAAATTGGACAAGGGGATTTACCGCCTGTCACATACCCAAAATTTCCTGCTAGTTATTCAACCCCATCCAAAAGAATCAGGATGGCTATCAGGAATTAGAAACATGACTTTAAGTGAGAATAGCTAACCTATGCAGTATTAAAACCTGTTGTCATTGAGTTGATAACAACTCATAGTGAACCTGTAGGGTAGAGCACAAGTGCCCTCATAGGGTTTCCAAGGCTGTAAATATTTACTGAAGCAGTATCGTATCTTTCCCATGGAAGACTGGAGGGTTCTAACTGCCAACATTTCAGTGAGCAGCTAAGCACTTTAACCACTGTGTCACCAGGGCTCCTTCATGCAGTATTAATGGGTAATATTGCTCCAAGGTGGCCAAAACTGGTTCTTGGGATAAAAACCTTAGATATTATAATCATTTATGCTAAACCCCCATCTAAGCTCAATCCCACACAACAAAATCCTATTCCTTAAATTAAACTCATGGGAGGAGAAGATGGTAGAAACTGGGGGGTAGGGGGTGGGGGGTGGGAGGGGTTGTGGGAAAAAAAAGACTGAGAAACACTGAACTAAACAAATACTTCCCATCTGTTTTACCCACTGATTTAGTCAATCTCTTGCAACTATTTTAGGAAGCAAACTCTAAGAAATCACTGATACTACTTTTTTTTACAATGCAAACATTGAGTAGTACATAAAATAGACTAAATTTAATTATTAGCAGCTTCCTGAAAGCTCTGAAATGTTTATTAAGGGCACAAAGACTTTTTAAGGGTATTTACAAACTCTGCACAAGGATTAGCTTGAAGAGAAACATTTTAGAAAGGAAGGGAAAAAGAAGAACAAACTTTCTTTTAGAAGAAAGCAAAATAGAAAATTTAAACCTAGCATTCAACTGGCTGCTCATCCATGGAAAAATGACCAGTGTTTTTAAATCTATCTTAATGCCACTGTGCTAGGAAGTAGGGATACAGTCTGTTCCCCAGGGTCTCATAGCATGAGCCAATCCTCTCTCCCTAATATTGTTAACAAGGAATAAGATACCTGGTTAACACAGGTAATGCCTCTTCCTAACCCCTTCCAAACCCACCTTCATTTTAGTAGACAATATGGAGTCAAGAAAACCGGAGTTCATGTAGAGGAAAATGAAGTTATACTGTTACCATCCTGACTAGAGTAAGAGTCCTTAGTTTCTAAGAGTTTCCTACAGATCAGTAGAATGTCCTTAAGGTAAATGAATCATTCCTGTCACCTTAAGAAAATGTATCCACTGTTCAGATTCACAGCACAGAATCTGGAACCTGATGGACATAGTATGGAATAACAACCTAAAAGTAGTGGTTCTCAAACTTGTCTGCATCTTAGAAATACCTGAAAAGCTTTTAAGATTTCCATTACCCAGGCTGCACTCCAGTAAGCAGACAACTCTGAAAACCACTGATACCAAAAACTTGGGGAGAAAATGGCTGCTTTCCAGGATTGGAGATATGTTGATATTTCTTACAACATAAACAGTAAGCTTCCTCACTATTTCTTCACTAAGAACTAGTATGAACTCACTTGGTATATTTAAGAGGAGTTTCCAGGCTGCCTGAAAACTTAGGGGGAAAAATACAACCCTGAATATATGAAGGAAAAAAAAACCATCTCAAATGGAATGCCAGAAAAGATATTAAGTAAATAAAAATAATCAAGCTTTAAAATGCCCAAATCTGTTAGAAATTGACATTAAGAATCAAATTCCCACTCCTAAACACCTGAAAAGTTAAGAGGCGGAGGGAAAAATAACAACCCTCAGGCTGGCTTGTAAAGGGTTTTTTGTTTGTTTGTTTAATACATCTGAAAAGAATGCATATACAAAGAATTGAGACATGAGAAAGCATTGGTTCAACACTAATGAATCTATAAGAATTAGGATTTGGGGAAGATGGAAAAGATTACCTAAACATTTTTTTTTTTTTTTTTTAATTGGAAACTACAACCAAAATAAGCTGATAAAATCCCTATTAACACTTATGAAGAGTCTTCATAAGACTCTTTCTATGACTTTTATTAAACTAGAGAGCCTCAACTGGTTACTCTAGGGTTCCTCATATGTAAAACAGAAATAAGGGGATTCCCCTGACTGGTCCCCATGTTGTTAAATGTTCTCCCCACCCCCACCCTCACCCCCAGCTTCTTAATGAAGCAGGCCTCCATCCCCATCACTTGAAAGAGGATGTGTGAATCATTCCATAGACATCTTTCTGCTAGCACCACCCCTCACATTTCCTCTATCCATCAGGTCTTCGGCTGTGTTCTAGGAACACCATATCAGACACTATTAAGCTGCACATCTAAGCTAAGCATATTAGACAATGACTGACAGGGAAAAAATTTTTTTAATTATGAACTCAATTCATTTGGTGTATTTCAGAAGGTGCAATACTTTTCTTCACTTATCAGTAAAAGAAGTTCAAAAAATAACTTCCAAAAAGAATCAGCAAATGGCAAACAAATTTCCTTGAAAGTCACAGTCACATATATAGTGCATCCTAGAAAAGAGGAGGGGCAATACAGGTTCCACCCACTTTCATGAGTTTCATCAAATACTGGACCTACTCAAGGGTGGAGAGAAAGGCAACTTTCAAAAAGGAGTATGTTCTTAAATGAGGCATTTACTCTACTCCTTCCTAAGAGCACCAGGTTGGGGAACAGGTTTCTAAATTAGATCTAAGAAGTGGAATGTGAAATCAATCCGTCCTCCTCCTTCAAGGGCTGTCCACTGGTTAATGATTAAAAAACAAAAACAAGACTAATAAAACGAACTCCCCACACACTCCCCCCAAGAAGGGAAGGGGAAAAAAAAAAACAACCTAAAATGTCCCAGATTACTCTCCAGAGTGGAACCAGGGAGCAGCTTCAACAATTCAAATTAGTCTGTTACAGAGTCAACAACAAGCATGCCTTGCTTTTTTCTTTAAAAAAAAAAAAAAAAATTTTCTTTTAAACAAAACAAAACCTAGTACTGATCACTTTACTGACAATACACAATTACTCAAAATTAACTAGTACTGGGAGGGGGAAGGGGGCCATACCTATGGGCCTTGTCTCACACGAGTGCATGGGGGTGGGTGCAGGGCATTTGTCATTATTGCAAAAACGAATTTTAATTTTTAATCTTTAGTTTGATTTAAACATTGCTTTTAGTATGATGCCGACACCAGCTGTGCAGAAAGGGCTCTGGAGAGATGTTCATAGCAGCACACACCTGCGGCTCTTCTTCGGTTCTGGAGGCTCCAGGGCAGCCAATATTGCTTCATCAAATACATTCTTTAGGCCTTTCTGAAAAGGGGTAGAAAGAAAAAATGGGCAGTCTGATTTTCAGTATAAAGATGAAGATCAATTAAAAAACATTCAAATCTCCAAGAGACGGCAAATTATGAAACGTTAAAAAACACCATGAATCTCAACACAGTAATCTCACTTCACTAAGTTTTGTCCAGGCAGAGCACAGGAAGGGTCCAACAATTCAGCAGAAGAGGAGTAGATATTCATAAGTGAGACAGTGGTCCTCTGAGAAAGCTTTTGCAGACTGATGTATGTCATAAGAAGCAAACAAGCACATGTGTCATTTGCTCATTCAATATAAGTTTTGTAATGTGCTGCTGAAACATTTTACATGAAAACAAGTAAAGCAGCTCTGCATTCAAATGAAACGGCTGGATATGGAACAGGACTGAGGATCAGCAGGAGAGTAGCAACTTTATTACATGGAAGGCACAGGCAAAGAATGGAGAGAGTGATTATGGTGGCTGTATGTAAGATATTCACTTTGAACTCCCTTTATCCCAACAATCAGACAGAGCCAAAGGGATTTAAGGAAGCAAAAATGTGGGTACCTGGTACAAATGTAAAACTAGAGCCAGTCCGTGCAACAGGAAGAAGGCTTCATCAGGCATTTTATACAAACAATTGTATTTTTTTAATTTCAAAATTTTAAGGTAACCACAATTGTATGTTTCCCTCACAACAATAAAATCAGAAGCAGGAAAATATAAGGTGGTAGCTTTACATCTCAACATTAACAAACCTTAAGTCAACTGTTAAAATGGATGCTATTCTTAAAAGATAATGTAACAAATCATCTCATAAAGCACATATACATCAGTATCTTCCCCACCCCAGACTGACAAATACTCCACCAGAGCACAGACAGCCAAAGCAACAGCAACACAAAGTTTCACTGCACAAAGGAAAACCAAAAAAGAATCCTCCCTTCCCCATTACAGCTCTACTAGCAGGTCACCTTTTTTCCATGAAAGTTTGTCATGCAATTACAATTAACAATCAATCATAAGAGTAAAATGATGTTAGTGTTATTTTCTCCATCTAGAACTAAGATCTAGAAATATTTAAAAACTCTTCTTATTTTCTCCAAGAGGACATTCTTAATGCCAGACCAAGTTCCCTTTTGCAATAGTAATCCAGACCAAAAAGCTCTGAGCATCAGGCAACTCAAGCAGCAGAAAGAAAAACATGTCCAATTTGACTCCTGATCACAAAAAATATTCTATAAGGTATTGCATTCTTGCCCAAAAACTAATACAGAGGTTGCTCTAAGATGGTGAGTAAAAAGACGCAGAGGCTTTCAAACAGGATGGTTTTATTCCTTCGTTTTTAAACGATATTTCTACAGTAGTGGGACAGGAAGCAGCAGCAAAGAGGGAAAGGAGAAACAGTTTAGAATATACAGCACTTCCTTTTGGGTTGAGTTTCCGGAGGCTCGAGGGCAGCTAGGATAGCCTCATCAAACACATTCTTCAGACCTCTCTATAAGACAGAGGGGAGGAGAGAGAATAGCAGCCAGGTTAGAGGATTAGAAAGACTAGCAGATACAAATAGCAGTCCGGATCAAATAGGCTGAATTCACAGAAGCAATGTACGTCAAGAAATAGAAATTCCAGAAAGCTTTATCTTAAACTCATTACTGGGAAAGTAAAAAATTCAACAGAGATTTCCTACCTCAAAAAAGGTTAGCTGTGCAAGAAAGCAATTTTTATGAAAATGCAGTATATGTTGACCTCTGAAATAAAAACAGCACTAACATTACCACATTTTAATTAAAATAATGCCAAGAGGGAAAAAAAAACGTAAACCTTAAATATGTATTTGGATAGACAGAGTAACTGGATAATTAAACCTTGTGGAATTCCCCAGTATTTCTCCTAATAAGAATGGCATATACATTTTGGAAACAAATCTACTACAATTTCAAGCTTATGTGAATTCAGCCCCTGAATAACTGAAGGACACAAATAGCAGACTAACAGGCATGCTACATGTTTCTAGGTTCAACAACATATCTGGATGGGATTAAATCAGGATTTCAGAGTTAACTTATCTCACAAGAAAAATGTTCAGACATTTAGAGTAAGCGTTAATTACTTAGCAGTATCAAGTAAGAGGAGTTTAAACAGACTCTAGAAACAGCATACACTTCAGTTATTCAGTAATGTTATTAAAGCAAGTAACCACCACCCAAGTCATAGAAAAACAAAGAATGGGGTCCTAGAATGAGTTTTAGCAAGCAATCCAGTGCTTTAAGATGTCTGCATGGGTATTAGAGCATAAGCATGGAGTGAAAACAAAGACTATTTTCAGATCTATAGAGGTTAAGATGCAGAAATACACTTACACCACAGCCAGAAACTCCAATGTGACAGGGTGACTCAGCAGTAGTGGTACTTTGGGCCCAGGTCTATAGACTCACCTAAACTCATCTAAATCTGAAGCCACAGGTTTACGACCCAAAAAAGTTTCACATGTTCTTTAGGTCAGTTTCATCCCAAGTAAACTGTGTCCAAAAGTCCCAGAACACAGTTCCAGTAACAACTGCCAGTCCTAGACCACCCTGGATCAAATATCCTCCTACCACCACTCTATTCCCACCACAGCATCCCAGGGGACTGATATTCATACATTCCATTAGATACAAAATAAATGAGAAATAGCAATACACCTAGTTCCTCACTTATCAACTCTCTCCTAATCCAACATTTCGTTTTTACAACAATAATTTTTAAAAATCTACTATCTGACTATTTTAACGACATGTGTCTGGCAGTAACAAACGCCAAGGTGAGAGTAACAATGGCTGTAATGACTAAAGTTACGTGTCAACGTGGCTGGGCCATGATTCTCAGTGGCCTGGAAGTTATGTAATGATGTAGCAGTCATCCTCCATTTTCACATACCATCGATTTCACACAACGACCTGGGCTTTGGAACCTAACCGTCTCAGTAAGTGAGGAGTGGGAGTATGTACTTTTTTAAAATTCAAAATGAAAAGTTTTCTTCTTTCTATGTCATTTACAAAGTAGAAAAGTTAAACAAAAGTTAAAGTTCCTCTGAAATTTTTTCTACACATCTAGGAACAAACAAATATAAAAAGGAGAAGAGAGCAAAAAGGAAAATACATTTTATAAGAAAAAAAGAGGGGAAGAACCATTAGAAACCAGAGTATCCCTTAACAAGAAGCAAATTATTCCTTGCTTATCGTGGACAAAGATCAATAAATATCCTATAAAATAAAACTAAGCTTTGCTTTACCTATTATTTGTTGACATATAGTTTAGTTTTAGAGGAGTCAACAAACGGAATCTAGAATCCTAAAAATTCTACCTCTCAAACACAACCACAGACCTCATTTTCTATCCTTTCTTCTTTTGCCTCTTCAAACTTCAAAATCTGGTACAAAAAATACACTTGCTAAAATAGCCCTTTTTAACATCCTAGTCTCAGCAAAGTGACTTCCTATATAAAACTGTTCACGTTGTAAAAATCTTATATAGAAGAATCCAGTCATACATAAAATAAGCTTCAACAGGGACTTTTAACTTGGGTCCACATGGCCTACTTGCCTTTACTTCCCTAAAGACATTCCATATCTAGGGAACCAAGGTATGCGACAGAGACAGAGAGAGTTACTTCAAATCTGACATGCTGCTCCACATCTATCTACCTCTCCTAAAACACACCACCCATATTTTTCTGATGACAGCATCAAAACATCAGAGAAAAGCACAATATTCAGTGCTTTGTGTGTGAAGGGGTAAATTCTTCTAAACTTTTAAAACATCTGCTTTGTAAGAATGTCAAGACTGTCTCATGTACTTTGGTCATGTCATCAGAAGGGACCAGTCCTGAGACAAGGATATCATGCTTGGTAAAGTAGAAGGTCAACGAAAAGGGGGAAGACCCTCAATGAGATGGATTAACACAGTGGCTGCAACGATGGGCTCAGGCAATGCAGCAACTGTGAGGAAGGCATAGGACTGTGTTTGGTTCTGCTGTACATGGCATCACTATGAGTTGGAACTAACTCGACACCTAACAGTAACAACAAACTGTGACGGAATAAATCTGCTTGTTAAAGCCAAAAAAAAAAAAATTACCTGCTTTATGTTGTTGCCAAGACAAACTAGGCTTGGAAGCATGTTTTTAAATTACTGGTATTAGGCCTTGAAATTATCCTGTGAAATATCCAGTTAAGCATAAAAGTTTATCTTTAAATACTCAACCAAGCACTAAATCGGAAGTTCTTAAATTATGCACTAGGTTCTATATACTAAATACCTAATGCATACATAATATGTAATTATACACATCATTTGCCTTAGTATACATATAATCAAGACTCCAATGGTATTAAAAAAACAAAATAAATAAAAAAGTATAATTACCAAAAAAAGTAAGCATAACAATTATAGGGGAATTTAATATAATTATTAGAAATCTCTACCCTTCATCCCTGCACAAAGCAGGTTTACTCATTATTCAACCTTCGAAGCACCAACAGAATATAAAGATTCTATGCTAATTACTTTAATACTTTCCTTTGTCCCAAGAACAGTACTCAAAGGAAGGAACTGGTAATACCATGAAGGTGGGGATTATTATCACACAAGTCAGTTACAACTCTCACTCTAAATACTTTTATATTGTTCTCCTGTTCCCAGAATTTAATGTCCCATCAAACTAAGACAAGTGTCCCAATTAAATCATTCAGAATTGGGCAGACCAAAAATGAGGGCTATAGAAGAACATCTCCAAAAACAAAGGAACAGAGACACTATGCAAAGCATGCTTGATAACTATGAAGAACAGCCAAGGCAGCTTTCTTACACAGAAGTCTCAGTAATCATGAATAATTCCCTGTCCCAGCTGAATTACTCCAGAAAGAGTAACAATTGTCAGAATTGGTAAGAAAAGATCAGATACATTCACATGAAAATTTAAGTCTTCTTTAAAAAAAAAAAAAAGAATTACTCACATTCTCTCTTGTTAAATTTATACTGATCTGGACTTTTCCCATAGTTTTTTGTTTGTTTGTTTGTTTGTTTAAACACAATCCCTGACCACTGCATATCATTCAGTATAACATCGGAGCTTATGAACCCAAGACCCTTACTTAGAGACTAGTAATTTTTTTCCATAAATACAGAGACCTCAAGCAATAATATGGGAGCTCTGGTAGCATAGTGGCTAAGTCACTTGACTGCTAACCAGAAGGCTGGCGGTTCAAACCCACCAGCCACTCCTCGGAAGGAAGGTTGGGCAATCCTACTTCCGTAGTGATACTGCCTCGGAAACCCAAGGAGGGGTCGCTATGAGTCGGGGCCGACTCGACGGCACATAACAACAACAACAACAACAAGCAATAATATACATTATGCAGCTGGTCACAGTTTTCCTGGGCACCTTTTTTGAGCACTGCTGACCACTGTTAGATATAACCCTTATATTCCAATGCTCTAAGAATCTAATCAACAGTAAACAAATAGATGGTGTTTCAAACAGTCCTCACCTGTGTAAGTGCAGAACACTCCACATATTTGACAGCCTTCAGGTCACGGGCCAACTTTTCAGCAGTCTCTGGGGTGATAGGCTTCTGTTTGTTCTTGGCAAGTTTCTCAATAGTAGAAGGGTCGTCTCTGAGATCAATTTGGGTCCCAACAAGCAAGAAAGGAGTCTTTGGACAGTGGTGAGTTATCTCAGGTACCCACTAAAGAAAAGGTATTTACAAATTTTAATCCACAATCCTCAAAAGCAATTTATAGCAGATCAACTTAAGTTCTAGAAAACCTTTTTCAGGGAGAAAATATTTAACCAACTCACCTTTTCTTTCACATTTTCAAATGAGGATGGAGAGACCACTGAAAAACAGACTAGAAATACATCTGTCTGTGGATAACTCAGCGGTCGTAATCTGTCATAATCCTCTTGCCCTAGGGGAAAAAGATGGAAAGAAGTCAGCAACTAAATCTTCATGTCCTCACAGCATTAGAGTCAGTCAACAGACTAAGTATGCAGCTTAGCAGAACACTAATCACTATCAGAACAAAAACAATATACTTATCAAATAAAAGGTATGCCATTTTAATGTAAAACCTGGTCAATATTTTCACTCAGCTAATTCAATTTAATATGTCAAGCACTGAGAACAGCAATGAATTACTTTTTAATTATTTGTTTTTACAGCAAAACCTACGACAACTAGAATACAACAGGACTGGCCTCAGTTCTTCCAGGTCTCGTAAGTTTTCTGCCTTTAACAGGAAGCAGTCTTAACACTTTTCTATGGTTCTCTATTAGTGGAAAATACTTGAGTGTTACTTCTCTGACAGGTTTCCGCCTTACACAGGTTCTGGCTTTCATGACTTTTACTGTATTACCAATTTATAGTTTTCAACCTATGTGCCCAACTGCAGCCCAACAATAATTAACAATAAACTACTGCTAAAGAAATGGTTAAAAATCAAACATAGTGAAACCATCCAAGGAAACAAAATCTCAAGGAAACTCAGCTGACAAAATCCATTACAACATAACCTTTTGGTTAGCAGCCCAATGCTTTAACGACTGCACCACCAGGGCTCAATTTTTTAGTTTTGTGCGTATCTGAAACTAAGAATGCCTATAAAAACTGATGTGACAAGAATTAGTGGATGCTAAATCTAAGTGGGGAAAGTTTTGATGATCAGCAGAATAACTGTATAGTCTTAAAGTGTCATCCTACAGACTGTTCATAAGTTCCAAAGGGAAAAAAATAAAGACCCTGAAGAAACTGGACAACATCTGGCTGAGTGATCAAAATAATCATCACTATTAAGTGGCAGGATTTACATTCTGAGAAAGACACATCACTAATGTAGTATTCCAACAAAAATAAATAAATAACATGAATCTAATCATAAGGAAGCACCAACCAAATCCAAAATGAGGAAAATTTTGTAAAGTGAGGGCAGGCCCTGTATTCTATAAAAACAGTGTCATGAAAGGCTGAAAAACTGATCCAAATTAAAGGAGATCACAGAGACTTGGTAACTAAAGGAAATACATGATCCTGTACTAAAGGAGGCAAAAATAGGGCTTTACTGGGTCAACTGACAAAACTGGAGTATGAATGTTAAAGCAGATAAAAAAAAGTACTATGTCAATGTTAAATTTCCTGACACTGATAACTGTACTGTGGTTAGTAAGAAAATGTTCCTGTCCTTAGGAAATATATACTTATTCAAGGCTAAAGGGTCATGGTGTATATAACCTGTTCTCAAATAGTTCAACAAAATATATTAATAATAACATATATAATGTAGAAAGAGATTAATAAAGCAAATGGAGCAAAATCTTAACAAATGGCAAATCTTGTTAAGGATATATGAGGATTCTTTGTAATATTCTTGCAACTATTCTGTAATCTTTTTGAAAGTAACCAGACACATTTCCAAAACTACAGGAGTAGGAGGAGACATGAGAGAAGGATTTATCACTGGAATTTCTAAACTGAGTTACAGAAATCCTATGTATTAAAAGGATAGTTCATCATTTTGTGATTATTATTTCTGACCAGTGTTGAGGGAGACTCTAAGAATGTAAGGCACCATTAACGGGTGAATGGATAAACAAATTCTGGTACATATATACAATGGAATACCACATAACAATAAAGAATAATGGTGAATCCACAAGACATCTCACAACATGGATGAATCTAGAGAACATTATGCTGAGTGAAAAAAGTCAATCACAAAAGGACAGATATTATATGTTGTTGTTGTTGTTGTTATGTGCCATCGAGTCGGCCCCGACTCATAGCGACCCCTCCTTGGGTTTCCGAGGCAGTATCACTACGGAAGTAGGATTGCCCAACCTTCCTTCCGAGGAGTGGCTGGTGGGTTTGAACCGCCAGCCGTCTGGTTAGCAGGCAAGTGTCTTAGCCACTATGCTACCAGAGCTCCCAGATATTATATGAGACAACCATTATGTTAACAAGTTAACAAAGAAAGAAACATTTTTTGACAGTTACTAAGGATGGGAGGGGAAGGGAAGGAGAATCACTAATTAGAAGCATTTAATTCTGATGAAGGGAAAGGCAATACACAATATGAGGGAAGTCAGCACCCTGTAACCAAGGCAAAGAAATACAATGAGAGTTATACAAGAATAAAGAATTACTACAGTAAATAACTGCCTGAGGCATTTGACTGTAAACCAGAAGGTTGGTGGTTCAAACCCACCAGCCACTCCTCAGAAGGAAGATGGAGCAATCTACTTCCATAGTGATACTGCCTCAGAAACCCAAGGAGGGGTCACTGAGTCAAGTCCAACTCCACGGCACATAACAACAACAATACAGTAAATAATATACCATATACAATCATGCAACAATAACAATAATTTGGGAGTAGATACATATGTAGATATATATGCTAAGTAGGTGTGGGAGGTCGTACAGGACTACACCCATGTGCATATACAGGTACGGCTGTGGATTTTTCTATATACCTACTTGTATGTTCTGCATGTATATTCATATACAACAGCATACATAAGGAGTACAGCTATGGAAACTACTTAGACATAACCAACCAATTTGTGGGACTGAGTTACTAGGCTTGAAGACTAAGGACCACAGTCTCAGGGAACATCTAGATCAACTGGCCTAACACAGAACATAAAAACAATGTTATACATACTAGTTTGGTGAACAGTGTGTGGGGTCTTAAAAGCATGAGAGTAGCCATCTAAGATACAACTGTCAGTCAAAGCAACAGAGAACGAAGAAAACCACAGACTCAAAGACGCAATTAGTCCAAATGACTAATGGCCACATGAACCATAGCCTCCTCTAGCCTGAGACCAGAAGAACTAGATGGTGCCCAGCTACCACTACTGATCATCCCAACCAAGGACACAATAGAGGGTTCTGGGCAGAAAGGGAGAAAAAACTCAAATTCCTTTGAAAAAAAAAAGACCAGACTTACTGATCTGACAGAAATCAGAGGAATCTCCAAGACTACTACTCTAAGTCACCCTTCTAACATGGAACTAAAGCCACTCCTAGAGGCCACCTCTCAACCAAATAACAGACTAGCCTATAAAATAAAGTTAACACCCATGAGGAATGTGTTCCTTAGAACAATCAGTTATACAAGATCAAAATTGCAACATTTGCCTAAAAACAGACAAGGTGGCAGGAAAGGGCAGGGAAACTGGGAACCCAGGGTGGAACGGGTGAGGGCACTGGCATACTGTGGAGAGTACAACTAATGTCACAGAATAACTTGTGCATAAATTACTGAATGGAAAACTAATTTGCTGTTTAAACTTTCACCTAAAGCACAATATGTTTAAAAAAAAAAAAAAGAATATAAGAGAGCTATCAAAACACAGTAATGTATGATGTTACTATTATTACCATTGAAATATGTCATATATCATAATTAAACAACAAGGGTAGCCACAGGGTAATATAAAAATTAAATAAAGGCTAAAAGAGAAGCCAGGAAGAAAACAAAATCACCATCAGTATCACCAACATTTATTAAATACTTACTAATGAATAATGATGATATACTTTGTTGTTGTTGTTGTTATGTGCCGTCGAGTCCACCCCGACTCACAGCGACCCCTCCATGGGTTTCCGAGGCAGTATCACTACGGAAGTAGGATTGCCCAACCTTCCTTCCAAGGAGTGGCTGGTGGGTTTGAACCGCCAGCCTTCTGGTTAGCAGTTAAGTGCTTTAGCCACTATGCTACCAGAGCTCCTGATGATACACTAGGGGTAGTGTAAAAAGGAATTCAAAAGTGTACAATTGAATGTGAAACTTTCACTACTCAGGGATTAAAAATTAAACAGTGGGTTTAAAGAGAACAAAACTGGCCAAACTCATGAACCATTCTTTCAATCTAAACTGCTTGAGCTCTAATACCAACTAGAGCTTTGAAGTATCACATACCAAAGTTGGCACCAAACATATCCCAGTCCCTGTGTTTTTTCTTTTTTAAAAACAGGTATGTAATTCTTAAGTATACAGCTCCTGAGCTTTTACACATGTGTATACATTTTAAAATTCATTACTATTATTCAATCTTCATACCATCACTAAGAAGAAAATGGTTTAAACATTTTGTATTTCAAGGAAATTAAGTTCCTGTTAAGCAAGTTGCAAGCAACCAAGCTATCCGGTCTATCTAGCTTCTAAGTCCAAGATTTTGACTGAGGGATGATTACAATGATTAAAAATCAAGAGAGAAGCTATCTTCTGAAAAGTCATTCTAAAACAACAATTGCCAATGTATAAGAAATCCACCACTCTGTCAGTTTGTCCTACTGTAGTGGCTTGCATGTTGCTGTGATGCTGGAAGCTATGCTACCAGGTATTTCAAACATCAACAGGGTCGTTCATGGTGGACCAGTTTCAGTGGAGTTTCCAGACTAAGACAGACTAGAAGAAGGACCTGGCAACCTACTTCTTAAAAAACTGGCCAACGAAAATCTACTTCCATAGAGATAGTACCTCAGAAACTCAAGGAGGGGTAGCTATGAGTCAGGATCCACTGGAAGGCAGTGAGTTTGTTTTTTTCTTTTTTGTTGTTGTTGTTGTTATGGTAAACAAAATCTGCATCTTTTTGATAAGGAATAACATTTAAAATTTGAAGTAAAATGGAGTTATTGGTAGAGAGATAATTACACATGGGATAACTGTGAGGACTCATTAGCAAGAATTTAGTGTTTTGACCACAGACAAAGGCAGAGCCCAATCTTTGGCCTTAAATGGTATTATTTAAATTGTTTAAATATATCTGTAAAAATTAAAGCCAGAGGCAAGACAGAAACACTAAAAAGAATTCAGAATAAAACCAGCCACTGAACACAATACAACAAAGCAAGGAAGGAAGTCAGAAGCCATCTTCACAGGCATTGTGATAGTTGGAGCTGTGT